AGGACAACCTGAAGTTATTAGCTTTGAATTTGAACACAAGTTTTTGGGTGTGTTTTGTTCTTTCCCTCCTAAAGTAAAAAAACAACAACAAACGAAACACATACTACGGTAGATCGATATAATTTATTTTAAAAAAAAAAGAAAAGGATTTTGGGGGAGGGGGGGGGGTGGGTTGTTAAGTAGACGATTTAAAGTGAACAATGAGAGGCACACAGATCTTGATTTTATTCTGTACGGTAACTAAAAAGAAAAAAGATGTCTACGACACGTGGTGTTCCCAAGCGGTCACCCATCTAAGTACTGACCACGCCCGACGTTGCTTGACTTCGGTGATCGGACGAGAACCGGTATTTTCAACGTGGTATGGCCGTAGACAAGAGAGGGTGACTTTATTGGGCATTTATTATAGCGTTATCGTTCTGATCCGTGATTGTCCAACGAATGATGTACCGTACCGTGGTGTCCACAAAATGAAATGCCATCCCTTCATCGGTAGACTCTAAGTCTAAGTGATGTTGATGACTCATGCTGAATTCAGCCATAGTNTAATAATGTATATTAATATTAATAATATCACTACAAGAATATACCCTCATAATATTAAAATAATTTAAACTTATATACTTATGACTTATAGTTATAGCCATTATAGGAAATAACCTCATAGTATAGTCTAGTACTATAAAATATTATCACTTATTTAAAATTTAAATATACACTACAAAGATCAGATGTATTAACAAAAAACCACCAGCACCACCACCAAACCACCACTGCTGCTACTAACTACTGCAGTTACAGTTACAGTTACAGTTACACTACAGGGGGGAACAATTGATAAGAAGCTACAGTATTTAGAAAGAATAAGACTAATTCTTTGAAAACAATGAAATTTGAGAGTTTGACAAATGTATTTTGGCTTTTGAACATTTTGGTGGTGAGGTTTGGGCTCATTGGGGCAGGTGTCTAATTGTCATTCCCCATTAGTGTTAGAGTCTAGTACCCAAGTGAGTGGCTAGTTGAACCGAGTTGACTGGATATTTATACCAAAAAAAAAAATACAAAAAAAAAAAAAAAAAAACATAATAAAAAAAAAAATAAAAAATAATTCATTATTTTATTAAATTTAAAATAATTAAGTTTAAAATAAAAAGAAAAAAAAAAAAAAAAAAAAAAAAAAAATAAAAAACATAATTAAAAGAGAAATTACAAATGATTCATTATCTTATTAGATCTATGATCATTGAGTTTAAAATAAGAAGGAAAAAAAAAAAAGGAAAAGACTCTGACTCTGACTCTCAATCAAAAGCCTAACTCAAATTGAAATTGCCCTATTAATTTAATTAATTTAAATCTAAGATAAATGCTTTCTACATTAGATTTGGTCATTGCTGTGAGTGGTTGATGAGTTTATCAACATGCTTTATTATTATTATTATCATTATTTTTTTGGTCAAACATTTGCCTTGTGTGGACATCACTATCAGAAAAGAAAATTCAGAAATGTATGTTATATAAATATAATAATATATCATATATCATATATCATACATCAAATAAATGGTCTGCTGTGTATTTTTTGTTCATACTGATCCATGAACCATCCCCTTCCCATATACATATTAACCATATTGTAGAGCGCTCGCACCAAGCTTGAATGAATCCCTATACCTATACTATTACTATACAGTAGCCGTAGGTAGCTTATAGTTTTAAATTTCATGTATAGTTATAATTATAATTATAATGATGTACACCTGCCCCTGTGATGAATATTCTGATTCTCATAGAAAAAAA